TAAATAATATTGACTGGCAATGCTTTTGCTGCAAATGTCATCTTTGTAAAGGTTGTTCGAGAAAGTGACCTGAGAAATAACTGACTGGGTCACTTTGAATGTAACATCTCAACAAACTGTATGAATTTATAAAACCTCTCAGAAACAGATGGGGAACATGGGTTTAACTCATGCTTCCTTTGCTCTTCGGAAATGGGATCAGCCACGAGTTGTTAAAATGGCCTCATTGTCGGTACATAACTGATATAATAAATCTTTCTAGTTGCAAACTGTCTGTCCGTATATACGCAAGCAGTGTCGGTGGACAGTTAGAAATTTTTTCATTTCTTGTTACTTGTATTTTTGGCAGTTAGCAAAGTGATCATTAAAGAATAAAAAAATCAGTTTGTAGTACTCTAGCTGAAATAATTTGTGACTCCTTTTCTTGTACAAAGATCCCTTTTCTCTGAAAGCTTTCCATCTGTCCCCACTCACTATTATTTGAATTATGTATTGAAAGACATCACATGTTGCTTTAAATGCCGTTATGCGTGCAGGGGAGTTTCCTTGCATGGGTACTCACGTCCCGTTCGTTACTCCCTTTTGGCAATTTTTTGTACGTGTAACTTCTCGTTTATTACTTTTGTAACTCAGTAGAATGCCAATAAAATTAATTAAAAAAAAAAAAAAAAAAAAAAAGGGGATGGCGGAGAAGAGGGGCAGGAGGCGGTGAGTTTTGAAGTTACAAGAATCACCCGTAATTATTTTTCAAAACTGCGTAACAACGTGAAATAAATTTGAAGCGAGACTGATGGAGGAAGGAACCTTGAAATCACACTGCTCAAACTTTGCGGCTGTTTGCAGCACAAGATGTGTTAAATGATAGCATCTTTCTAAATCCTCAAAAGGATCTTTTACGGAAGTTCTCCAGGGTTCTCAGGTTATCAAGTTCTCCAGGATCTGAACACAAGGCTTGAGAGTAATTGTTCAGCCAGCTTAATTGAAATGACGTTGAATTGTTGAAAGCCTGTCTCGCGGCCATGTGTTGTCTAAGTGTGCGGATGAAGGAAAGGTAGGTCTGGACTGATAAGAAACCCTGCTTAAAAGGTCCGTTAGTTATCATGCCATGTCCGGCATCTCAAGCACGAGGCGACTTCAAGTCAACTCACGATCATCTGCATCAACTCCAGGAAAAATTCTGAATAAAAGTTTCTGCTTATTCTCTAGGCGTATTTTCGAGTTTCTGATCGGATCATGAATCGAACTCTCCGTAACCACAACCTTCAAGAGAGATGAAGCAAGATGTGTGAAAACAGAGTTACATAAAAATGAAAAGAACCTTCGAATGCGGACTCACTCGAAACATCCATCTACGAGATCAAATGCTGTGCAACTCCCCTGTGCATAACTCGACAGCCTGAACATTTTGAAAATATTGTTCCTTCCTATTGGTACAGTAGTTTCCACAAGCAATTTCCCTCCTCTTGAACTCTAAAATGTGTTACTGAGAAACAAAAAAATCGCCAATACGTAAAATTCAACTCACATATAACTGTCGTGCTATGCAGTATACTGATGAAATGATAGGAGATAGGATCAAATTAACAACAAAAAATTGATGAGAAAAACTGAAAAGGTGTGTTTCTAACTTGGTTATGTTAACTCTTTAGCAGAAACTGAGAGAGTGAGTGAATAAAAACAAGATCAGTGATAAGATAATTCGTTCCCAGATCCTTATGATATTTTCTTTAAGATGATTTTAGATCGTCGTCATTCTGAGCGTGCGCGAAAAAAAGAAAAAACGGTTGTTAACAGACTGCTGAAAAGGCAGTAATAAAATGATCTGCAAAAGATTGAATATTGTTCTGGTTTCGTCAAAACCTGGTCCATTCTGTTAATGGTAGATATGTCGATATCGCGAATAAATTGACAAAGGAAATGAAGTTAATTACACTTAGGAAACAAAATCACTTTGAGTTGTAAGAAGTCATGTCGAGGTAACACAGGTTCCAGAGATCAGGGATCAAATGAAAAGGTGATTATTTTAAAAAGAAATTTATCCTATCAATGTGAATTTCCTTAAGGGAGGAAAATTCTTTTTTCTCTGTACGGAGTGGTTGCAAAAATGATAATAAAAAAAGAGGGCACGTTAAATACTTGGCTTCTTCAGTATATGCACTAGTCATCTTAGAAAGAATCGATCACAGGCCTTACTATTGTTTGCCGCGCTTTAGCATCTGAATGGAATAAGCTCATTTAAGAAAGCTATAATTGGATCGAAAGGGCCGTTGTTATTCCTTATTGTTGTCTAGTCTTGAAAAATTAACAAGTAATTATAGTCTTTGGTAGGTCATGGTAAAAATAGCGCAGATTTTGTGGTGGGGAATAGGGAATAGGAAAAAAAGGAGCATGCATCTTTTTTATTATTATTGAAGGGGGTTATTGAATCACGAAGTTAATAAAACTTTCTCTTCAGGAAACCGGGCACATCTTCAAAAAATTGTCATTCACTTCGATTTCATCACTAACTTGGAATAATTATATGAATTCGCACTTATCAACAAATCTGAATGATATCCTCGAGAAACAACAAACAAACAGGAAATTGCGAGTTTAACAATTGTCGCATGTTTTTTTGTTTGTTCGAGCTCAACCATGCGTTCAACTGTTTCAAAAACAACTGAGAAGTCCTATTATACCTTTTGGATTTCTTTCTGCGAAAACTTTCAGTAAATTTCCGTTTTTTATAAAGGCGCTTCTACAAATTTGTTGCAGTGGTCAAAAGTTGGGGAATCGATGGAATCTCGCAGCTATTTCAACTGGAAACATTTAGAAAAGGTCTGCTAAATGTGGCGAGCTTTTTGAAAGGAATCAAGGCAGACACGTGCTGTAGTCAAAAGAAATAGTACTTAATGTAGTGTAAATAATTGATCTAACAAATCAGTGTGTCAGACAATGCTGAATCGTGTTGCGCATTATTAGTAAGTGTTTCCAACGCCAAATTGATTATCCAGGGCCATTACTCGTGTTGCGCATTATTAGTAAGTGTTTCCATCGCCAAATTGATTATCATTACTCAGTCTGTTGACTGAATATAGCACTGATTTACCAAGAAAACCTCATTCATGTGGGAATAAAGGAATACAAGGTCTCAGTATACGGGACGTAAAGAATCAGAATGGACCGCGGACTTAGTCGTTTTAACGCCATCAAAAAACTAATTTACGGCCAGCAGCATCAAGCGAACTTACGGCTATTTCAGAGGATTGTGCTGAGCTTATTGCAGTGTAGTCCTGTTAGGTTATCACGCGCTCTGGATATCACAGGAAGAGATTAGGAGTTTCAAATTACATGAAACAAAAGGTAATCGTGAAGATATGAAATCTGGGCTCTTTTCCTTTGTATGGTTACTGATAGAAACACGTTGGCACAAGTTCTCGCATAAGAGAGCAAAAGATTGACGTTTACGCCGATGAAAAGCCACAAAAATGGATTCTGACTTACTTTTCACATGGAGTTATTATACAATGAAATATATGAAGTTCATATATTTTTTTTTTTGGAGTTATTATATTGTCAATAAAACAACCCAAGGGAGAGAGAGAGGATGTCTCCATGAAAGCGATAAAGGTTACGTATGTACTTGATCTTAAGTCGATTTCACGCAGCGTAAAAACAGCGGCTTGATAATCGGCTGAATGCCGCGAAGCTACCAACAGTCTACGATAGCACATTAACCAAAACGTTTGAGATGAATAAAAACTATTTTAAGACGCTGTATGGCTCGTTCCAGACGATTGTTAAGTCCTCAAATTCTTTTACTCCTCTGTGTCGACTTTTAATTTATGTTCTAGTGGCCAGGGCTCCATACATGTGAAAAGCACCCTTAATCTTTGAATACCCGTAAACTGCCATCTAAAAAGATGAAACCATAATTTGATTGTTTCTTTTCGTACGAAATCTCAGTTATGCTCATATTTATCCCGACTTTTATCTCCACATCATCTATTTTGATTTCAATTCTTTCACAGACCTGGTGTTAAACTACATCACTTAGAACTACGAAAAAAAATCTCATCTACTTAAAATGCTCTAATTAGAATTGTGCTCATGCTAACAACTTTCAACAAGATTTAAATCACGTTTCTTTTTGCCAGCAGGAAGAATGGGGTTTTTTCTACCATAGAAGTGCATTTCTGTCAACACTCGGCCTGTGGTTTATGATCTTGTATGGCCGGTGTTAAAAATTTCGTTCTGTTCCTTGTAATTTGCATTTTTGGTATAATAAATAGCTCCCCATATAATTACAAATACATTCACTTTTAGAAGGAAAATTCGAAGGAAAGGTAAAATACAAAAAATCGACATGTTGCCATAAACGATGCTGCTCTATTTTGCACGATCATGTAAAAAAATCGGAGCAACTTCAGAATACCCGTCCACATCATTTACATATGTCGGGAGGCTTTGAAGAATGAGGCACAACACAATAGACGCTATTCTTATTCAGTGACATGGAAATGATGTGGCCGGGTATTCTCAATTTTTTTGTTTTAAGACCACTTGACCGATCTGGCCTCCAGCTTTAGTTGCGCGTTTCAACGATCGAAACGAGCTTAGAAGGAAGAGGTGAACAGCAGATTAGACAGATTATGAATGGCGGCGAAAATATTTATCTTCGGAACATTATGCAGCTAATTTTCTTCCTTAACGCCACTGAAGAAATTGGAGCGATTATCATTGATGTCTTGAGTAGACAATGAAAGTAGAAAGTTGGATTTGTTGTGTTACCAAGGGGCAAAGGACTCACGCTGGGCATAACGATTACGTATCGCATATCTGATCACAGGCAGACCACACTAAAGTTCGTGGTTAATAATTGTTGACACGAGACGAACAAAATATAAACGAGGGCTATGAATAAAGCTCTGAAAATTGCACATCTAAATTACATCTCGTTCTGAATATCTGATCGAGATGTAATTTACATGTACAATTTACAGAGCTTTCTTCATAACCCT